CCAGGAAACCCTGGACCTCTGGTTGAGAAACACTGCACAACACCCCCTTCACCCACAGGCTAAGGATAGAAAGAGGCAGGTCATTGACTTTCCAGAGCCTCATTTCACCACATGTGATCTTCCAATGGATCTTATGGAAGTTAGAGCAGCAGGGGGTCTACTCTAACATCTGCCAGAACTAGGTGGCTGAGAATCAGGGAGCCACATTATTGAATATTATCTGCACACGAACTCCCACTGAAGTCAAAAGGAACTCCATACAAAGTTTGGAAACGCTGGATCCTAAAGTTTTTATTTGTGCTTTCCTTTCTTAATAAAAACTATATGAACTGTCAAGAGAGGATTTTGCCATGTAATCTGGCACGCATGGTTCAAACTTTCTGTTCTCGTTTATGCAAGTATCAAGTGCCAGCTTCAAACTTAAAAGATAGGATTTAAATCATCAGGTCATTAATCCATAACCTGTTGATTCACTTTGTCAAATATTGGGGGTAGCCGTGCTAGTCTGTATCCACAAAAACAACAAGGAGTCCAGTGGCCCCTTAAAGACTAACAGATTGCATCTGAAGAAGTGAGGTTTTTACCCATGATAGCTTATGCTCAAATAAATCTGTTAGTCTTTAAGGTGCTACCAGACTCCTTGTTGTTTTTGATTCACTTTGCTATGTAAAGAAGTTAACTTCCTTGTCTGCTTTTAAACAGATTACTTATATACATTTTAACACTAGCCAAAGTGCATAGCCTAATTTTGCAGCAATACAATAGACATGCCTATGCCAGTCCAATCATTAACAGATTTTTGTGATTCAGTTAGCTATCCATCAGACAGCTCCTACAATGTCAATTTGGACTATAATCAAGCTTTAGAAAAAAACCTGCTCAAAATTCAATATCCCTGTACACTACACAGCACAATACGTACAGCATATCTACCTATTTCTAAGGCATCAGTAGTGTACCTAAATGCTACATCTGTGTCTGTAACAGTTTATGGTTTAAATTAGGCTCAATCCCAATTCCTTGTTGGCTTATTTCCCAAATCGCTAGCTCAGAGGACCCCGAACTGTGGGGCAAGCCCCCATAGAGAGGCGCAGAGGAACATCTAGGGTGGCGCAGCAGGGCCCAGGCCAATAGGGAGTGGGGAGGGACCACCACCCAGTCCTGCTCTGGCCCCACACCCAGAAGCTGCCCAGCTCCCAGCCCTGCCTTAGCTTTGGCCACTGACCGTGGCCCAGATGTACTCAGCCCCATCCCCAGCCTCTGGCAATGGGTCCTCAACAGGCCCCAATCCCATCCCAGCCTCAGCCCCCTTACACTGCCCACTTTGTCCCCACTTCCCTGCCCCCAAGGAGCCACATCCCCTGTCCCAGCCACTGGGGGGAGGTGGGAGCACAACACTGAAAAGATTGGGAACCACTGCTGTAGCTGTTCCAATTGAATTAGGGGGGAGGGATAACTCAGTGATTTGAGCATTGGCCTGCTAAACCCAGGGTTGTGAATTCAATCCTTGAGGGGGCCATTTATGGATCTGGGGCAAAAATTGGGGATTGGTCCTGCTTTGAGCAGGGGGTTGGACTAGATGACCTCCTGAGGTCCCTTCCAACCCTGATATTCTATGAAGAGGATGCAACTTCAGCATTAAGGCCTTAAATACACTGGGCCAAAAAAGTACATTTAACCAGTTTAGAATTCCCTTTAAAACCAGCGTTAACCTGAACCAATTAAGTCTTCTTTTCCCCTCACAAGCCAGAGTGGATGAGCTCAAACAAAATCCTGAAAAATCCTTACTCATGCAAGCAGTCCTTCAGACTTCTGCTTGCACCAAGTAAGCCGATAAAGAGAGAAAGAATCTCCACTTTCTTATAATTTTTCTTAGCCATGTCACCTGATCACAAATAGGAGGAGAGGTGGTCCCTGCAATCACAAAAGAGATGGGGAAATGGCCGGAGCGGCATGTTGCTACAAGGAGGTTCACATTATGGAAGGGTTTGAGAACCTCTTATTTATAATGTAAATTTGCAATGAGTCAAACATAAAAAAACCTTAACTGCAACCACAACAGCAGAGATCAATAATCACTGAAGGTCTCGGTCCGAGCTTCTAAAAAAAATTATACTAAGAAATAGCATCTTTAATGATATTGGGTATTCTAATGGACCAAAAATTCCAATTATTTTAAAAAAATCATGTATTCAGCTGAAATATGTCATTAAATGGTCAGATTTATACAAATATTAAAAGCCACCAAGATGAAAAACCTTGAAAAAACTCCCCACTGCAATTAGCTATTGTAGTACATTGTGTAACAGCAGGCATCTTCTACCACAGACTTAGTAGCTTGTAGCTAGCTTGTTGGTTAACATATTATGACAAAAGTATGGACAGAAATCACTACCCTATTATTACAGCTATTTAAAGTTATGAGAAACACCGAGCAGGAAAAGGATTCTGTCTCCCCACACAATCACTTAGCTTGATTTTTGTACAGAGATGACTCAGTCCATTTTTGTTGATAAAATTTTGCATGCTGGTATGTGCTGCAATACCTAAAAAGGGGGGGATTAGATAAGTGACTCTTTGGGGAGAGGGGGAACTGAACTAGCAGACTTAAAAAAGCTTTTCATTAAAACAGATTGCTCCCCTTTTCCCAAAATCCTGGCCTGTAGATGTATCTTGTTGATTCTCTCATATCCATCTTCCAGACTCCACTGCGAGCAACAGACTGAGGACAACCAGTTGTACATCCCCTCGTTCACAGACTCCACCAAAGTCATCTCTATCCCTAGAGATCAGTAACTGGTTCAAATTCAACCCAGCAAGACCAAAGCTATACTAGCTGGAAGAGAGAAACACTTTGAAGAACCGACCAAGCAACTGTTCTCCCATTCCATCAAGAACATCTCTAACCTATTCACTTGAAAGGTTCGAAGGCTCATGGTCTTGTCTTAATTGCCACTTCGTCTGGAGTCCAAGGCAGCATCAGTGATGAAAATGTCTTCTTATACTTCCAATTTACTGCTAAGTGACTCCTTTCTCAGGCAAGGAAGATATCTTGCAAAAGTGACCCACATATTCACCAGCTCCACTCTGGATTGCTACAACTAGTAGCATCTGCATTTGAAGCTGAAGTTTCAGCTTGTGCAGAATGCAGCAACTCAATTCTCCAGTGTCACTGCAAGGCCTTAGTTCTCATCATTAAGGACATTCACGAGTCAGGACCCAGTTATATCAGCAATCATCTTCATCCACAACCCACTAAGTAGGCTGTCCTTCTCTCAAAAACGTAGTTTACAAATCCAGGACAAAGTGAGAATCAGAGTAAAGTCATTCTCAGAAGAGGAGTTAGAGTTTTCAGAGGAAAACAGTCTAATCCAGAATAGTACCATCTTCAGAGTAATTTGGTGACCTACGCACAAAAGTAATCCTTCAAGAAAACAATCTTTCCAACCAACTATAGTCCAAGCCCATCCTCCTCTATCAAGGCACAAGAAGATTAACAAACCTAGTCATGTTTCACAGTAGCAGCCGTGTTAGTCTGTATCCGCAAAAAGAAAAGGAGTACTTGTGGCACCTTAGAGACTAACGAATTTACTTGAGCGTAAGCTTTCGTGAGCTACAGCTCACTTCATCTATGAAGTGAGCTGTAGCTCACGAAAGCTTTATGCTCAAATAACCTAGTCATGCAATCCTCATCATGAAGCTCCAAGTAGGTTACCTGAATAGAACTTAGATTCTGTAGTGACCGGCATAAAAGAAAGGGAGGGGGGTGTGGGGGGAAACAGGGCTGATAACTAACCACAGACTAAAGATCTCTACCTCTAAAAATGTAGGCATAGATAAATATTTACTATAGATCCTGGGTAAAATAAACTTGTGGTCTCAGTAGAAAATGAAAAGCAAATCAGTCAGCCAGTACACAAATGAAAAGCTAGTTTATATAGGCAATCCTAACTGACCATTGTTGCAAGGAAGTTAGTTGAGCCTTACTTACAAACAGACAGGTATTTATTCATCATCTTCTATAGTGTTCAAATTATCTATAAATTAAAACTCTAATCCCAAACAGTTTTACCCAACCATTACTAAAGTAAGAAGCTGATACACAGTAGTATCTCAATTTTAGCCATGTTTTCAAGCAGATAGTTAAGGACTCTGTCTACACTGTCGACATCCTAGCCATAAAATCTGTTCCTACATGGATAAGTCAAAGTGAGTTAGTTTGTAAAAACTAAGAGCATTAACCAAGTTATGGCACAGAAGCCTGAATTAGCCACTGAATGGTTTGTGAAGTGCTATAGCGCCAGCTACGGCACTACGGGTCTTGTGAGCGCACCAGATCTACCCCAGTAACACCGACGCTTTCAAGGGGAGGTAAAAGATTGCCAAAGATACAAAAGAAAAAACCACCTTCTCCAGTAAACCGAGCCGAGCAGACGAAGCACTGATTACTCTCGCTGGGTAATCACCAGAGAGCCCAAGGGAGCAGGGGCTCGGCTCGGCTCAGCCCCCCACCCCCAAGCCAGGACTGCCTTATTTCGGGGGGGCTGGGGGAGACTTGCAGGATTTCCCATTGCGGGGTCTCCACGGTACCCAGGCCTGCTGTTTGCCTCCTTCAAGGGGCAGGAGCAGGAGTTCGAGTAAATGACATGCCCTGCTCCCCCCGCTAAAAACACCCCGTCTCCCGCCCTCCCCCAGCCGCCGGCCCGCTGTGTGTGTGTGTGTGTGTTATGGGGCGGGGCCCTCAGGGCTTTACTCCCCGCCCGCGGAGCAGGGGTGGGGGAGCGCGGAGCCCAGCCCCACGCTGGGCTCAGCGCCAGCCCGAAGGTAAGGGCCGGGCCGGGCCGGGCCGGGCGCGCTCTGTACCCGGGCCCCCAGCCGCTGCGGCTGCCTGGGTGGGGCGGCAGCAGCGAGCGAGCCGGGAGAACGGGGGGGCGGGGGTGATACCTCCCCGGACCCCGCTCCCGCAGGGGCAGAGCCAGGCTGCCCACCCCGACACTCACCGGCCGGGCCGAGGCGGCGGCGGCTGCTATTCCCAGACCGCTGGCGGCGGCGGCGGCGGCTCCTGGCGACGCGTCTCCGCAGAAGGAGCGGCGACCGAAGCTGCGGAACAACGGCTGAGTGCGCTGCTGTGCGCATGCGCCGCCCTCGGGGCCCCGTGACACGGCGGAAGGAGGGGGCGGGGAGTCTTTTGCCCGCTGGGGGAAGCGCCTGCTTCCCTCCCCCGTCCGTCGTGCCGGGGCCGGCAGCCGCCCTCCTGGAGCGTCTGCAAAGGGCCTGGGCGGCGATCCGCGGGGGAGGGGCGGCCCTGGCGGAGCCGGCGGGGGACGCCCGAACCCCATTGCCTGCAGCCTGGTCCGCCGGGCGGTGCCCGCCTAGCGCGGTGTTACAGCCCCCCTGCCCCATGCCCAGCAACGCAGCCCTCGAGCCCCACCCCAGCGCCCCCCAGGTCCCTCACACGGACCCCCTCCCCCCAACCCGTGACCGGAGCTGCTGGCTCAGCGGCATGATGATTCCCCACTTCCGTCGGTAGCCCCGGCGCGTGGCAAGCCGCGGGGCGCCCGGAGACCCTGGCCCATAGGTGCTGGAACTAGGGCAGCTGGGCAGCACCCTTGGGGTTGAAGTGGTTCCCATCGTTTACAGGGTTACGGTTTTGTTCTCTGGCTTTCGGCACCCCTTCTGTAAAAATTGTTCCAGCGCCTCTGCCCTGGAGGGGACTCAGTTGACCATGCGGTTAACCTGAGTTCATTTATACAGCACAGTCCTGATTAAAGAAATGAAACTCCTCATCAAGGCCCCTGTGTCATGCTGAGAACAAGAGAACTGGTTTTACATTAAAAACAAACAAACAAGGAGTCCTTGGGGCACCTTAGAGGCTAACAAATTTATTTGGGCATAAGCTTTTGTGGGCTAAAACCCACTTCATCAGATGCATGGAGTGAAAAATACATAAATAAATACATAAACATTTATGCCCAAATAAATGTGTTAGTCTCTAAAGTGCCACAAGGACTCCTGGTTGTTTTTCCTGATACAGACTAACACAACTACCCCTCTGAAACTTGATTTTACATAGTGTCACGGCCCTGAATTACGCCTTTCTACTTTCATAGTCTTGAGGTATGATTTTGGCATGGGGCTGACAAGAAACTAAAGCATGTGACAGTCGTGCATACTGTGAAGTTTTTTGGTTTTTTTTAAATAGCCAGAAGTCTGGGATAATCTCAAGTGAGGAAGCACAAGTGAAAACTGCAGCTTTTCCCAAAGTATATGAAAGCTTCATAGCACCCACCATAGCCATATTTATTTATATTACGTGTGTTCACTCTCTAGAATAAAGGTGGGGGGTTTTCAGTCTTTTGTCGTATATTTGCCTTCTTTACTCATGTTTTTATCTTCTCAAGTCAGCAGCTGTGTGCCCATATGATTCAGTGTTTCTCTTTCCATTTCTTTCTTTTTTTTTTGTAATCTGTTAAATGGTTTACGTACTGTTCTTGGTTGTGTTTCTGGTTTCACTTCCTTATAGGAGGGACTTCAGTTGCTCTTTTTGTTGCTGTCTTGTAGACAGTTTCATTTGTGGCTAGATATGGCACTTGGCTTCACCTCATCATTGAAAGAAAGCATTTGTGGATTTAATTTGTTTATTATTCTCAGAAACATTCATATTGTCACTTGGAAGACTAATTTAGATTGCAAGATCTTTAAGGGAGGGGCCGTCTTTTTGTTCTGTGCTTGTATACTATCTAACACAATTAGGGTGACCAGATGTCCCGATTTTACAGGGACAGTCCCGATTTTGGGTCTTTTTCTTATATAGGCTCCTATTACCCCCCCAACCCCTGTCCCGATTTTTCACACTTGCTGTCTGGTCATCCTAAACACAATGGGGTCCTGGTCCATGACAGTAATACAAATAATAATAATAATAATAATTAATAATAATAATAATTAATAATAAGACAGATAATGATTCTTTTACTGCTTTTCTAGCTTTGAGTGTGACCACAATTAGTTGTTTAAAAGACGTGGACTGAAAGATCCAGAAATATTAAAGTAAACCAGGTTCAGCATACCAAGGGAGCAAGCTGCAGCTGATTTAGGCCTCCACCTTATAATGAGCTCAGTGCTGGCAAACCCTTGCACCCACACCAAGTTCATTGTAGGACTGGGGCTTTAGTATTGTCCACAAAACTTAAATGAAAGGCATTATAGCGCAGTTTGAAATTTGTGTACTCAAAAATAATCAATAATACAATTATGTGCTTCATAAAACCAAGTTAAGACACATTTCTGAGCCTAGTTCCATTAGTCAATAGGAGTTTTGCCACTTTCACAGAACCAAGAATTGGGTCTACAATTCCTGCCATAAAAAAAAAAAAAAACAAAACCAAAAACCTTATGTTTTAAGGCCCCAATCCTGTAATCTGATCTGAAATGGATGGGTCTCTCTGCAACCCCTCTCATTTCAGCAGGACTCTACATTAGCAAGAGCGAGAGCTTCCCCAAACTCTGGGTCAATGTTGAAGCTCCCCAAGGATAACTTGAGGGAGTCCTTGAAATGTGTCTTCTGGCTTCCCTGAGTGCTTTCCCTCCTTTAGCTTGCCGTAAAAGATCTTAGATGAGCAACTGCCAGACATTCTGGTGACATGGCCTGCTAATCTCATCTGTGACTTCATCAACCGTGTGGGGATGCTTGGAATGCCTTCCCATATGAGAACTTCAGTATTTGGTACCTTGTCTTGCCATCATTGGTTTCCTTAGATAGCCCATGTGAAGTGAAAGTGATTCAGCTTCATAGCATGGCATCTGTACACCATCCAGGTTTTGCATACATACCTCAGAGTTGGGAACACAATGGTTTTGTAGACCTTCAGTTTTGTTTGACTGATGTCTCTACGCTCCCACATATTTGCACGTATTCTGCCAAAGGCCATGCTTGCTTTGGCAAATCTGGTGTTGGTTTCATCATCAACGTGAACTGCATGTGACAGTGTATTGCTGAGGTAGGAGAACCCTCTTCAGTATGATGTTCTCTGCCATGCTTCCAGATGCCTTTTGTGACTGACACCAGGGACTGGCATCAGATACCGGACTGATGGCAAGCTCTTCAATTTGAGGAGACTATAGGAGAAGACAAAAAGGTACAGGAAGTGGCTGTTCATGATCTTCTGTTTGCTGATGGCTGTTCCCTGAATGCTAAATCTGAGTCTGACGTAGTGGACTTTGGATTATTTTTCTTTGGTTTATGACAATTTAGGTCTTACAATCAACATCAAGAACACAGAAGTGATGTACCAGCCTGCACCAGGAAAGCCTTATGTAAGCCTACTATCACAATGAATGGCCAAACCCTCCAGGCAGTGGACCACATAGGTAGTATGTATGTATATTCACGGTTACAGGGCTAGCTGAACCTCTGGTCTGTTCAAGTGCAGTCTTAGTGGTCTCAGGCCTTGTTTCCTTACCTGTCTTTAAGAGAGAATCACACAATTCTCATTGCTTTAGACCAGGTCCTGAGTTGAAGTACCCTGTGGATCAACTGTGCCTTCCCAGCAGGTCTGGGTTCTTGTGGTTCTTTCCTTTAGGAATCTGTGACCAGTGGGTTACAGTGACCCAGAACTGCCTTTTTAAACAAAAGTATCGATTATTTAACCAGAGGAACAAAGCATAGCATAAAAGACAGAATTTTACACCACCACAAGGGGTACTTACGTATCTATCATACCTTGTGTCCTAGGCATGCCTATTTTACCTCAGGCTCCTAATCTCAGGGATGGGTTGGGGGAGGAGGGGTGAGTGGGTTTGAGTGTCAGTTTCCAAAAACCTAGGTAAGTCCTTATGGGAGTGTGGGTGCCTTTAATTCCTGCTATGGTTCTTTGTTCACAGTTTCCTGAACTTGGACTTGCTGCCCAACATCAGTTTGGTGAGTTCTGCAGGCTCAGAGATAGCACATCCAAGCCAATGGCTCTTGTATCATTCCTGAAGTGTTTGCTTAGAGGTGTATATTGAGATCCATCCCCCCTTTCCTGGGTGCATTTCCTGACAATCCTGCTGTTGAATTAACTCAATATATGTATACAGTAAACCACAGAGTAACCAGATCATACATAATATTTATAAATTCATACAGGAAACTCAAAATTCATCACCACCAATGTAATTCATAGAGCTGGCTGGAGAATGAAAACCTATATTTGTGAACAAATTTTAAATTGTTTTGTTTCAAAGTTTTCAAAATGGACCAGTTCTTTTTGGGGGAGGAGTTGAACATTTTTTAAATGCCTTTACTGTTTTAGCTTCTGCTAGTTTCTGCTGTTCTGAATTGGCCTTGAGCAGTGACCTTTCCTGAATTGGAGAATAAGAAAAGAAGATAGATAGGAAAAAGTGGGAGTGTCTTTAACAACTATAACTTAACAAGCCTCACATACTTTGAAAATATTTGTATAGGGATCAGTACCTTAGCAACCTGAGATAAAAAAAAACATTTATCTTGCTTAATATAATAGATATTCTCATTGTATGTATGACAGGACCGGAACATCATCTAAATAGCTAGAAATAGACTTCTGTTATTTTTTTTTAAATGCAACAATATGCAGTTAAAATGCTTTTAGTGTATGTGAACAGTTCAAAAGGGGAGGACTTGCAAATGTTACTCCTGAGTAGTTACTCTTTACCCTAGCGCACAAATCAGAGAAATGTAGTATTTTTAAGGGTATATTTAACTGAGCTGATGTAGAACTAAAAATAGCATGTAAAAATAGCATTTTTAAAACTCTAATATGATATTGTTTTCTTTGGTTTTGAATAGCAAGATCAAGTAGGGCTGGTTGCTTTTCAGATTAACTGTTTATGGAGAGGAGTCCTTAATTTCTTAGTCATTGAAGTTCACGGGAGTTTTGCTTGAATAAGGGTTACAGAATTAGATCTATTGTTTGAGAGCAGAGCAAACACATGGTGAAGTCATCAGTTTTTTGTTCACTTAAATTGCAACCAATAGCTTGGTAATTTTTCTGTTGTTGAAATACTTTTTTAAACAAACCCTGTTATTGTGCTAACATCCGGAGAATAACAGACTCTACCCGTGGGGAAATAACTAGTCATCAGAAGCTGAAGAATTCCTAATAAAATAATCTATGGCAGGTAATGCGGGTATTTTCCCCCTGAAACTGGAAATAGACTCTACTTTGCACATGAGAAAGCTCTCTGACCATCCAGCAGCGAACAGTTGTGAAGAGTCACTTGGACTCTACAGAGAACAAAGACATTTGTTCTCTGCCATATACATTGTTTGTATATGGCAGAGAGGGATCCAGCATGTATGTGGCAGATACAATTATTAAAAAAAACCTACATTAAAAGATTATTAAGGTTGCAAAATCAAGCACTCAAACGTTAGGAAATGCCAGACTAAGGCTGCTTGTGCAATGTTAATTTGGCCCTCTTGTGCATATCCGTGATGATACATTCTTTAATCACATGAACATGTGCTATTTTTTCCACTTCTGGCTCATTCCAAGGAGGGACAGTGCTAACTGAATGAGCAGCTGTTCAGTTTTCTCCTTGTTCAACAAGAAGCCATATGACTTATTTACTGCACACTATTCAACCTGGCTTTAATGGCAGAATTATTAATTTCCTCATGGGCTTTTCTATTATGCTTATCAATGTGCTTCACAAACATTAATGAACTTATTTTCAGAGCAGCCCTATGAGATGAGGGAGTATTATTCCATTTTACAAATGGGGACCGAGACACAGAGAGATTAAAGTAAAAAAAAGTATATGAATTTTGGTACCCAGTTTGAGATGCCTATAGCCTGTTTTTTTTCCCCTGAGAAATTAGCATTCTGCAGCACTTTATTGGTCAGTACACACCTTCTGACTCCAGATTTTTACAGAGGTTCTGGCTGCATCCCTACCACCTAATTTATGAACATCCCATCCATGGGCCCACAAAATCGCAGAACAGCCTTTTCAACCTCCTCCTAGCACTGGCCAACATAGCCATTCATCACACCAGGTGGAGGAAGCTAGACGGGTGGTTTCTCTGTAACTGGGGCCTATTTCCTTTCCCGTGTTCAGTCATGTCTCTAGGCTGAGTTCCTCTGGGCAGTGTCCACTGATTCCTTGGACACCTTTGAGGGACAGTGGGTGCTGTCCAGGGTTCTCTGCTCAGTGTCCCTATCTGGTTCGTTGATTTTTCAACTTTGGACCTCACTCCCATTTCTGTTTTCTCGTTTGTTGTCCTCTGTAATTAATTGGAGCCTGGTGTTGGTGGTTCCTCTCACTTAATTGTGGTGGATGGCCTTTAGTTTTGGGTGGACCTAGATGCACCTGTCCCCAGTACTTCAAATGCTACATACTTCCCAACTTTAGAACCTCTTGCTGAAGTTCTGGCTATACTTTTCCTCACACCACCTGATGAATGCACATCCTATGCGTGGTTCCATAAAGTCATGGGACCTCCTTGCCAAACTCCTCCTGGCACTGGCCAGGACAGCTGGATGGGGGTGGTGCTCTGCAACTCTGGGGCCTATTTCTGATTCCTCATATGATCATGCCTCCAGGAGAGTTCCTCCAAGTAGCATCCATTGAATCCCTAGCTGCCTTTGAAGAGCAGTGGACTCTGTCTGGGGTTCTTTGCTTGGTGTTCCCTTCTAGATTCCCGATTTGTTACTGCTGACCTCCTTCCTGCTCCTTTTCTTTTATCTGTGGCCCTCTATAATCAACTGAAGCCTGGATTTAGTGGTGCATACTTCTTAGTTGAGGGCCTTTAATTTTGGGCAGGCCCATAATTGCCTTTCCCCAGTACTTCAGATATAATATGCCTTCCAACTCCTGCAACAAATGAGGCAGGGACCCTACAGACAACAGCCTCTTTCATCACACAACTCTGATTTATTCCCTGTGAGAGGAGACAGGAAAGAGAAGTCAGGAAGTGGGTGGAGTGAAGCTCTGCACTTATACATAGAGGGGCTTATTGTGCCTTTTCTGTAACTAAATCACAGGTGGGGTTCCTCTGGAAGGGATAGTGACTGAATGAGCTAATATGACTTTTCCATCTCCTACCTTGTATAAGTTAATGTTTTAATGTGCTAAGGCTGGAAGCTGAACTGAACAAATTAGCACTGAAATAAAGCTCACATTCGTAATAGGGTAATTAACCATTAGATCAACATACAAACGGATGTGGTAGATTTTCAGTCTCTTGAAATCTCTAAATCAAGATTACATGTCTATCTAAAAGATCAAACAGAAGTTAGGGGCCTGATGGTGGAAATACTGGGCAGGAAGTCAGATTAGATCATTATAATGTAGCCCTCAAAAATCTCTAAATAAAATAGAATAATTGAGTGTTTCTCTGTATTCTGCAGGTAGTGCTACACTATATTCAGCTGAAAATGCAGTAGTGGTTTAGTTAGAATGTTATTAAGTGAGTTGGAATTCATCCAGGACGCTGGGACTTTGCAACTCTTATGAAAAGTGCCATGGGTTCTTTAAGTGGTCAGAACCTCCATTTTATAACTCAGTGCTCTCCCCCTGCCCCCCACATCAGTAGCACAATGACCCTATATACTTTCCCAGAGCACGGTCTCAATACTGACTTAGAGCAGAGGGAAGAACACTATATTAACAGTACTTTCTGCAGCTCATGGGTTTTTCTTGGAAATCTGCCATATAATTACTGACCAAACTAAACCTGTTTCATTTAGGAGGTCAGAAGCCTTAGATGGTATGGCTGCAGGAACACCCATGTGAACACCAATTTGTAAAGAAAATAATTTCACCTATCTAAACTTTCCATCTGTTTCTATTCTTCTGTTTTCTACCCCTCTTTTCATGTCTCCTCATTATGTGTAGGAACAGGTTAGGAATAAAATATACCTCTCTTCCAACATCTAGTTTTTATTTCTCTATTCTCTTCCCTCTTCTTTCAGTATATTTTTTCCTCTCTCCTCCTTTTCCTTTGGTTGAAGTCTCTCCCTTCAGTGCATGATATAAGCATGCTAAGTGCTAGTTCTACAGCCTTTACCAACTTTAAAAAAAAAAAAAAAAGAGATACAAAAAGTTCTAGTGATGTTTACAGGGACAGAATAATTTGTTTACACACAACTGCACAATAGCAAAATGCAGTGTACTTAGTTTGGACAAAGGACAATTTAGCTGTGAATTTTTTGTTGCTTTTTAAATTTGTGGAGAAACTGAAAGAAAGGCTGCTTCTGAATTCCTGCTCCATCTGCTGGAGTAATACAACATGGCTTGTCACATGTTTGGAGCAGATTAGGATAATTTTCTGTTGGTAATTTACATAACTTCTTCACTGTGCAGTAATTTTTTTCATACTAATAGCTACCATTTTGTGAGTTTTTAATTTTGACTTTTTAAAAACTACTTTTCTCTGTTCAACTGAGTGCTTTTACTTATTCACTTGAAACTAATGAAAGTTATTTTTTAAATATGCTGTTTTAATGGGGGCCTTATCTTTAAACAAATGATATTGCCCAAGTTTTAAGAGTACACTTTTAATGCAATAACTGTTAGCCATAACCCTTCTCTTCATGCTACATTTTGTGTCCACTTCTCCAATTCTGTGTCATTTGCTACTTCTCATTTGTGTTCTCTCTTTCACCAACTTGTAGTTTGCTTCTGCTTCACCAGCTGCTCCCTCTTTTCAATTTGTTCTGAAGTGAAACTTACTAGAATCCTGATCTTTTGCATCACTGTTTGCCAATATCAAAGATCAGGGATTGAGTAGACTCCCTTTGCTACTAGCTGCCAATGGAAAAAAAAATAAAGCACAATAAAATCCTTTAAAAACAAAAGTTGTAAAATCGTAATGCTAAACGTTATTAAAATCTGCTTATTTGACAGAAGGGAAACTGTTTGTCCAGAAGTTATATTTCATATTGCTTGGAATTATGGAGAACCAAATGATCCCAGTCCAGAGCAAGTGCACCTGTATTCCCCATCCATGGTCTCTTGAGGATACAGAGTCTAGGCTCCAGGCTCCTCAGCGAATACCTCTCTTGGGTAGAGACCTGGGTCAGTCTGTCTCTCCCTCCCTCTCCGAGTTTTTGAGGCTATGCAGTTCCCTGCTTACACTGTGATATACTCAGCAAGCCAGGCTGTCTAAACAGGCCAGCGTCTGTGTTGGCTCTCTCTTCTGTTACTGCCAGCAGTCATAAATTACTACCCAGCCTTTGTGTAAACAAGCACATTTATTCTTAAAGTAAAAATATGACAGAAGAAACCCATTAATAAAAATAAAAATCTACATGTTAATAAATTTACCAGAAGTCATGCATCAGTCTTATTGGGCCTTAGTAGGTCAAGTCCTTGCAAAGGAATACTATCAAAAGTGGAAACATGGAAAAATTTCTAAGGACGAGTATAGAAGAATTGGATAAACATGCAAGGGCAAAATCAGAAAGGCTAGTGCACAGAATGACTTACACCTAGCAAGGGGGAGATAAAAGGCAACAAGAAGCGGTTCTTTAAAGGAGCAACAGAAAGATGAAGGAAAGTATAGATCCTCTACTTAGTAGGGAAGAAGAGCTAATAAAAAATTACATCAAGAAGACTGATCAGTTCAATGTCTATTCTGATTCAGTCTTCACTAAAAAGGTTAATGGTGACCAGATACTCAACACAATTAATATTAACAAGGGGGAAGGAACAGAAGCCAAAATAGGGAAAGAACAGGTAAACAATATTTAGATAAGGTAGATGTATTCAAGTCAGCAGGGCCTAATAAAATTTATCCTAGGATATTTAAGGAACTAGCTGAAGCAATCTCAAAACCATTAGCAATTATCTTTGAAAACTCCCAGAGGATGGGGGAGGTCCAGAGGACTGGAGAAGGGCAAACATGTTCCCCTTTTTAAAGATAGGTACTAAATTGGACCTGGGAAATTATAGACCAATCAGCCTAACTTCAATATCTGGAAAGATATTGGAACAAATTAAACAATTAATTTGAAAGCACATAGAGGATAATAGGGTCATAAGGAATAGCCAGCATGAATAAAACGTGTCAGCTATAAATATTATAAGCATAACCTCCTCTCCATTATCCAAGTAATTAATGAAAATATTGAACACTACCAGTCCCAGGAGTGACCCTTGCAGGATCCCACTAGATATGTCCTCCCATTTTGACAGAGAGCCATTGATAACTGCTCTTTGACTGTGGGTTTTCAACAAATCGTGCACCTACTTTATAGTAATTTCATCTAGACCGCATTTCCCTAGATTGCTTATGAGAATATCATGTGGGACTACTGTGTCTAAAGCCTTACTAAAATCAAGACATATCACATCTATTGCTTTCCCCCATCCACTAAGCTAGTAACCCAGTCAAAGAAGGACATTAGGTTGGTTTGGCATGATTTGTTCTTGACATGTTGGCTATTACTTATCCTATTATTTTCTAGGTGCTTACAGACTGATTGTTTAATAATCTGTTCCAGTACCTTTCCAGGTATTGAATTTAGGTTGATTGGTCCAGAATTCCTGGGGAATTCTAGATAGAAAGTAGACATCAATCTGTTCATTCTCAAGAAACAGTGGTCTATACCAGTGGTTCTCAAAACCTGAGGACATGGCAGGTAAACAAACTGGACCAGCCCGCCAGGCTGAAAAAAGCCCACCTGAAAAAAGGTGGCGGCCCTAGTTTGAGAACCACTGGTCTATACAATATTAAATTAAATTTGAAATGTTCAGTGACTACTATGTTTGGAACAGGAGAGAAAGAAAACCACTTCCCAATATTGGACAGTTTCAGAAACACTGATTGTCCCAGTGCAAATATAATTCATTGTAGCAGAGTACTAAAACATTAACTTCAAAGATTCTCCTAGGTATAACTGGCCAAAATAAAGCAGGTCACCTGGTCTCAGAGGATGTGAGAGCTGCACCTTTGCCACGGTAAGACTCAGACAGGATTTGATACAGAGCCTGAGAATAACACAGAAATCTAGAAGTTAGAGCATCATATTTTCTGATTTCTTTTGTGTAACTTTAAGGATTTGGGCTTGCCTATGAAAAACTAGGGAGTCTTGGGCTAGGTATGTTTCTTTCTACTGTTTATTTATTTTCTTCAAAGACAACTGAATCCTAGAATGCACTTTTTACTACAGTCCATCATAGGAAAGGTAAACAACTTCTGAGGAGCCAGTCTAATTGGGTTATAAATCAAGTACACAGACCAAAGGATGCAGCTGACACACAATGCCCAGAAAAAGCTTGAAACCTCAGACAAGAGAGCATTGGAGGGAAAAGATTGACACTGATTTTGTCAGGCTATGTCTACACTGGCAACTGATCAACAAAACTTGTGTCTTTCAGGAGGTGTTAAAAACAAACACCCCCCCCCCAAAAAAAAGACAAACGTTTTGCCGACAAGCACCGGCGTGAACAGCTCTTTCTGCCAACAATGCCACTCGTTGCGGGTGGAAGGTTTTTGTCGGCTGGAGAGCCGACAAACAGAAGTTACACTGCAAGACTTTTAGCGGCACGGCTGTAGCCACACAGCCTGTCACTAAAAGCTGCATAGTGTAGACATAGCCAGAGACTTATGTTAACAGTTGGTATAAGGCCTGGTGACTTTTGTCACAGATACTAGGCTACCTGGTCTCCGAGTTCCACCTCAGGCCTCAAGCCATCACCTCTTTGGGGGCAGAATTATGTGATTCTCTCATTCTCACACCAGGTTTGGGGCTGCAATCCCCCCTGTACCAACTGTGATTACCTCAGGAGGCCTGACTTGTTAGGTTCAATACCTGCAGTTCTGTACCCTCCTGGAGCTAGGACCACTGATATCCAGTGACCAGATAGCCTTCTTAAAGCAAAGGATTGTTTATTTAGAACCAAAGCATTTCAGAGCAGAAGATTGCACAATGAAGAACAGTCTATATACATGCTTATCTTGCCTAAGGATTACCATTGCCTGGAAGTTTGGGAAGCCCCCAACTGCTTCAGACATTTTTGCAGTCTCTGTGACTGTCTGTCCCCTGGGTGACCAGCTTACAAACAACTCCCCCCCCCAGCCTTCTCTCCAGGGAGTCTTTTTTAACTGCTCAATATGCCAGTAACTTTGAGCGGCAGCCTGGAAGTAGCATATTCACGGCTAAAAGTTCATCTGTTTTGTAATCACTCCCAAGTGTTTGTTAGGAAGCTGGTTATCTAAAACCACTGTGTTGTCTTCTTCCTTGTCTGTCCAACAGCTCCCTATTAAAACTAAAACACCACATTCATACACGAAAGCCCAGTAACTCAGTATAGCTATATAATGATTGACCTGACTAACCAAGTCACATACTGTATTCATAAGATTATTACCCATCATTATTTCTAGATCATTATATAGCAGCTGCACATCCGCTACAGTTTTTCGTCGGTGAAACTGAAATGTTGCTGTATAAAATGGTACATGTTCTACTTCTTAGATGGAAATGTTTGTAAGCAAACCGGTAAGTAGGTGGCTGAAATACTTCTCTGATGGACTGTATTTACTGAAACAATGAGGAGTCCTTGTGGCACCTTAGAGACTAACAAATTTATTTAGACATAAGCTTTCGTGGGCTAGAACCCAATTCATCGGATGCATGGAGTGAAACTACAGGAGCAGGTATCAATATATGAAAGGATGGGGGCTTGCTTTACCAAAATTCAAAAGTTATTTTTCTTCCCCTAGTATCCTGCTGTTAATTGATTTAACTTATTATACTGTCCACTAACTTGGTAAAGCAACCCCCCCCCCCCATCCTTTCATGTATTTATACCTGCTCCTGTATTTTCACTCCATGCATCCGATGAAGTGGGTTCTAGCCCATGAAAGCTTATGCCCAAATAAATTTGTTAGTCTCCAAAGGTGCCACAAGGACTCCTTGTAGTTTTTGCTGATACAGACTAACATGGCTACCACTCTGAAACCTGTATTTACTGAGGGACTACCTATCCTAAATTCTCAATTACTAAGGGACAATCTACACTCATTGCTATATTTGTTTTCCACAAACTACTATTAGCATAACCTTTTATGAGTGATGTACCAGAATATTTGGATGCTAATATCTAAACTGTATTGTTAAATTTATTAACCTTTATTTGGGATAGTGCAGATTATGTACTATATGTATTTTATTACTTTTAAACCAAACTTTGTACTTTTGGATAATTTAAGCATTAGTCTCTCCCTAACCTGTGTATTAGATAATTTTAGCATTAGCTTTAATACATTTTTTAAATCTGCCTTTTAGATCATCTAGTACTTTACCATGGCAATGCAAAATTGTTCTCTACAGAATATTTGCTACTACTTTACTCAGTCTCCTTTCAAATGCTTCAAAAATGGGTCTTCTCCACCATTTGAGACTGTTCCACTGTCTAAGGAAGAAGGAGAAGACTGAAAAAGAATAGTGAACTATTTTTTGGTCAATTTACCTCTGATATCACAACCCCAACACATAATCCAAAAACAATAATCTGTTGTTGAACAGCTACAGAGCCAGAAGGAGGCAGAGAAAATAATGGGGAAGTGGAGGATGCAACAAACTACCTTTGATGTCACAATCCCATCTCCTAACAATAAGTTTTCTCTTTGAAATGGGGAGATCAGCAGAAGTTGTAGTGCAACAGGGAAGAAGCAGAGTAGTGCTGATCGTTTCCTCCCAGGATTAGTACAGACCAAACTGCTTTGCTCATTACTAGAGAGGAAGGAGGAAATCCTGGCCCTGTGGAAGTCAGCTGCAACTCTCCCATTGACTCCAATGAGGCCAGGATTTTATCTGAACCCTCAAAGACAGAGGTGAGTTAAACTGGCAGAATAGTGGGGAAGGCTACCTTTCCACTCTCTGCCTAAACTACCTTTAGTCTGACTAAAATAAAGACTTCCTTTTCAAGTGCTATTAGTACAATAACTTTCAAAAGCCCTATATTTATTTTACAAAGAAGAAGAATACTTTTAAGGAGGATACAATTATCATTCCAAAAGGCACTTATAGTAATGGAAATAAACCCCACAAATATCAAGAGATAAATTCTATTATTGCTGTAGAATACATTATTCAAGTACCAGTTCATAAAAAGAAAAGGAGTACTTGTGGCACCTTAGAGACTAACCAATTTATTTGAGCATGAGCTTTCGTGAGCTACAGCTCACTCCATCGGAATACCACGGTATGCATCCGATGAAGTGAGCTGTAGCTCACGAAAGCTCATGCTCAAATAAATTGGTTAGTCTCTAAGGTGCCACAAGTACTCCTTTTCTTTTTGCGAATACAGACTAACACGGCTGTTACTCTGAAACAGTTCATAAAATGCCACTAGGTGGAGATGTTATGTAATCATCAGTCACTTTACAGGCAAGTTAGACGCTGAGCTAGAAGCAGATACCTTGCAACTGTACTAAACTTTTGTTTCCTGTTTTTGTTCTTTATTATTCAAGTTTCCAACATAGGTTTTACATATTTCACTGATGTAATTGTATCTTCTGATTGCAATGCCATAACAATACAATCTATTGCTGACCTGTGAGCTACAGCTTTCTTTTTGTATTGCTTTCTCTGGTTCTTTTGATGGCTGATGTTAACAGAGATCTTACAAAATATATAGGGAAAAGCAGCAAAAGGCAAAGTGTCTCTTCACCGGGGACATTTGTTATCAACCATCACTGCACAAACAGAAATTATAATAAGCACACTAAGTACATTTCTTATTGCCACTTATCAATTGCCTTTCATAACTCACTCATTTCCCTGCTTGCTCCACTGCACCTGAATTATGAGGCTATCACTAACAGTGGGAACAAATTATGCCCATTTTATACACTCTAAATATTATGGGTCAAATAATGACATTACTGGTGGGAGCCGTGAGGGCAGAGGAAGCAGCGTGGTCTCAGCTACACATAAAGCTGGATCTTTAGTGGCCCCTGAGCAGCTGCACAGAGGTGAAGAAGAAATTCGCCTACACCTGGTGTAGGTTTTGAGGAAACATAATAGCAGTTCCTTTGCCTGCACTGTGGCGAGAGCAGGGACTACTTGCTCAGTCTGCCACAAGAAATTCATGGCCTTGCTTGCTCCTCCGCTTTGTCTCACAGACTAGAGCCGGAGCATTCTCGGCAGACCAATGTCTGCTGCAAGGTATGCATGAACCCCCATGTGTAGGAGTGGCTCAAGGATAAATTGGCATAATCTCTCTGGTGCTCTTTTTATGGGCAGAATAGTGCCACATCCCCTCCTCCTCCAGACTGTGACATTAAAGGCACAGTCTAACCCATATACTCTGTGGCAATTCTGCCAGCATTGGCTTTGACTCATGGCCAAGAAGGAAGTGCTGCTAGGTGTATCTTATTACTGCTAATATCTGCCTCTCGCTAGTGCATGCTATCAATCACAGTATGTGCACTGACGCTATCTATACCCTCTTGTGGGCTTTCCTGTTGGGTCTGGGGTGCATTTTAGAACCAGGAATCCCTCTCCATGTTGTCTTTAGGGCTGGGCAGGTATTCATTGGATAGCACAAGGCAGATCAGGACTGGTACCCTATGGCAGGAGAGGCTGTTAAAAATATTTGTTTTTTCAAGAAAAGGTTGAATGAAATCTAATTGCTTAAAAAAACAGAAACCCTGTTCTCTAGTACAGTTTAGTCCATACTAATTCTCACCAAACAATAAATCAATGTATTGCAGGTCTGCACCACTCTTTCTAACCGATATTTCTACGGCACGAGCAGTTAAACTGACAAACCCTATTAAAAATAATAGGGCCCCAAGTCATGCTAAAGGTATACCATGACTACTTTTTTTAAAGTAGAAAGTTATTGGCCAAATAAAACAAGGCCCTGCACTCAGTGTGATGGCATTTCTCTGTCTGCCTTGTAAGGCGATATCTTTTGAGCACTGCATCCAATCAATTCCAAAACTCCAAGGAATGTTCTAGGCATCAAAGGGCAGAACCCCATTGATTTTGATGAAAATGGAAAAGCTAGAAATGCCTGGTGTGACCAGAGTCCCGGGGGGGGGGGGGGGACACGCTGAGATTTCTCAATTAGAGAAAACTGCAAATAATAGGGCAGACAATCCCCCGAACTGGTGGTTATTCTACTACTTAGATTCACCAAGCTAGCAACAAGCCAGCTTCTATAATATCTTATTGGTTACCCAGAAGCCAAAACCCACAGTTCCCTTAAAGCAACCCAGCCTTGAGCTCCCACCCAGACAGCCAAGTCAAATATGATGAGGATTATTGAAAACCTTGGTCATCATATAAAAAGTTCTACCAATCCCAAAGGATCAGACACATTACCCACCAGGTTAATGAATATTTTAGATCTTACCCAAATACACGCTTACAGCTAATTCTTATTAAGAAGCTAAAATGTATTAAAAAGGAAAAAAAAAGAGAGAGTATCGGTTAAAAGATCATTATACATACAGACATGAATAGAGTTCTTAGGTCAGCTTTATAGTAGAGATGGTGAGCTTTAGAGCTGCAAAGAGTTCTTTTAGAATTAGTCTATAGGTTACAGTCCAATGTCAAGGTGATCCAGATGAGACTGAAGATCTCAGTCTTGCAACTCAAACTTCCTCTAATGAAGCTTAAGCACATCTGAGATAAAAGGATCAGGGCCCAAGAGTTCTTTTTATAGAACTCTGGCAGGCCATTGACAGCCTCTTGACAACAGGTGTTCCTTGAGTGAAGCATTGTGACTTTTAAGTAGAATCACCTATTTCCTATGTATACACAGGTAACTAGTTGCATTCATTAGCATAAGGTAATTATGCATTAAGCAGTTCATAGACGATTTACTACAAACTTCAAAGAAAAATATAGACAATGAAATTATTACATTCAGGTTTCATTTACATTTTAATATTCCCTTTTGATCTCTGAATCAATAGACACAGTAACAGACAGGAACCATCTGTTTACATGGTTAACATCTAACAAGATATAAGTAAATACATACAATTAGTATTACCTCTAATTCTCTAACAATACAGGTATGCATTTCAAAGCTTTAGTCTATTTAACATGAAATTGACCTAATTACCATTTACATACTTTTCTAACACATCTCTACAGATTGAAGTTGGGTCATTTAGCCTGCTAGTCATTTAACCCTTTCTGGCTTAATGTCACACCTGGTTTTTCACTGGTATAAATCAGAGGAAAAAATCAGACACCTGTGTGGCCTATTGGGTGCTGCTGGCAGAGGAAGCTCTCTGGTGCCTTCTACTGCTGCCTACACATATCACAGGCAGAAGCTTCATAAATTAATCTCTTTCCTTTTCAAAAGTTTTTGTATTGATGACCCCTTTCACACAGCAAGCCTCTGAGTGTGACCCCCCTTATACATTAAAAAGGGGGTAATTTAATTTAATGGGGGCTTAGGGCTGTCAGCCCCACATTGCTGACAGCTCACAACCCCCATGTAAACACCTTGGGACCCCCCTGAGGAGTCACAAC